CTTGTTTGTGCTCCAACCCCATCCCCTCAACTATCCTCACTCCTATCCCGGGCACCTCCCCCATATCCTCTGCCTCCCCCGGTCATATGCCAGTGGCTGCCCTCCCCCTCCCCTGTCTACAGTGGGCCTGCCCCTCCCCCCTCCCCCTGTCTACCAGTGGCCTGCTGCTCCTCCCCATCCCCTATCTAGACCAGTGGGCAACCCTAACCTCCCCTCCCTCCTCCCCCCTCCCATCTACCAGTGGGCAGTGCCCGCAAAGGACTGCCGGCCGTGCCGTGCCCCTCGAGACCTTATGTAAGCCCTGACGCCGACGGCTCATTCCTCGTGGGTTCCCAAGATAACATAGTTCTGTCCCTTTGTCTCTCTCTCTCTCTCTCTCTCTCTCTCTCTCTCTTCTCTCTTCTCTTCTCTCTCTCTCTTCTCTCATCTCTCTCTCTCTCTCTCTCTCTCTCTCTCTCTCTCCTTCCTCTCTCTCTCTCCTCCTTCCCTCTCTCTCTCTCCTTCCTCTCTCCTCCCTCTTCTCTCTCTCTCTCCTCTCTCTCTTCTCCTCTCTCTCTCTCTCTCTCTCTCTCTCTCTCTCTCTCTCTCTCTCTCTCTCTCTTCTCTCTCTCTCTCTCTCTCTCTCTCTCTCACTCCCCCCCCCCTCTCTCTCTCTCTCTCTCTTCTCTCTCTCTCTCTCTCTCTCTCTCTCTTCTCTCTCTCTCTCTTCTCTCTCTCTCTCTCTTCTCACTCTCACTCTCACTTCTCTCTCTCTCTCTCCTCTCTCTCTCTCCCTCTCTCTCTCTCTCTCTCTCTCTCTCTCCTCTCTCTCTCTCTCTTCTCTCTCTCTCTCTCTCTCTCTCTCTCTCTCTCTCTCTCTCTCTCTCTCTCTCTCCTCTCTCTCTCTCTCTCTCTCTCTCTTCTCTCTCTCTCTCTCTCTCTCTTCTTCTTTCCTCTCTCTCTCTCTCTCTCTCTCTCTCTTCTCCCTCTCTCTCACTCACTCTCCCTCTCTCTCACTCACCTCTCCCTCTCTCCCTCACTCTCCCTCCCTCACCTCTCTCCCTCTCTCTCACCTCCTCCCCTCCCCCTCCCTCCCCTCTTCCCTCCCTCATCTCTCTTCCCTCCCTCTCTCCTCATTCTCCTTCTCCCTCCCTCCCCTCTCCCCTCTCTCTCATGTTTCTCTTCATCTTTCTCTCATTTGCTTGAAATTTTTATTTTATCTTCTCTTCTCTTCTTTTCTCTCCACTCCATCTCTCTCTGAGCACTATATTTATATAGGACCAGCACATTGCTGTTGAGACGGAGAAGAGATGCTCGTTCGTAGCTTCCTAATTAGATATTGTAGACATTAAGAGTTCATTTAGAACGAAGGGTTACCGTGTAAACCATTGGAATTAAGAGAGAGCACTAGAACAAATAATCCGTACAAAAGCTTTTCCACCAGAATTTATAATTTGTATAAAGCTTAATCTCTACTAATACATGTTATGTATAGCCTCTCGCTGATAGGTCTATCCATTATAACCATGTGATTGTAGGATTGTAGCACTAGCGTATGATGATAGGTCTATCCACATAGGTTCCTTGATAGCTAACCTGTTTATTACAGCTGCGACACGGGTAGGCCTATCCACTACAGTCATTATAAGGCTGTTCACTGAATTTATTACACAGACAGATCAACAGAATCTTAGTTGATATAGCGTAGAAGAAGCGACCAGCGAAATCCAATTAAACAACTTTCCATTTGAGTTGCAATTTTATCGACAACCGTTCCCATTTGACTTAAAAAGGTAAATTGATAACTCCACGGGAAGAGAGGTTGCCATTTGCCAGTATCCGGTTTATTTTGTTGTTGAAGACTTGCGTCGTAGCTAACCTATTTAGTGGTTTTCATTAGCGATGAAGGTGACTGCTGCTTGTGGACATTTTTCTTTTTTATATAGACGAAATTTTATGAGTGGAAGATTAATAAAAAAAGTGTTCTTCCATCTTCAAGTTTTGCTCGGGTCTAACGGAACCACGTGGCTGTTCCAGAGGGAGGAGGGGAGGGGGCGCTGGAGGGGGGGGGAGGAGAGGAAGATGGGAGGGGGGGAGAGGACGATGGGAGGGAGCACGTGGGTCGTCCTGGTACTGCGTAGTAACTTTTGGCGGGAGTCATTTTCCGGGCGGGTAGGGGGGCTGTAGGGGCGGGGGTACGGGGTTATGGGAGGGGGGGTGAATTTAGTCATCGGCGCCAAAGGGGGTGGGAGAGGGGGGAGCGTGTGATGTCTAGGTTAGTGGGGGAAAGGTGTGGAAAGGGAAAGGGGAAGGGGGTTAGGGAGATGATGAAAGGAGAAATTAGAAGGAAAATAGAGAAGTAAGAAAATAGGAGAAGGAATATGTTGTTTGTTAAGGGGGATTAGGAAGCAAGGAGAACGAGGGTATAAGGTAAAGGGAAAGGAGGAGGGGGTGGAAATGAAGAGAATATGGAGAAGAGAGGAATAGAAGATACAGAAGAAGATAGGGAGGGGAAAGGGGGGCAAATAAGAGGTGGAGGAGTGGAGGAGGAGGTGAGGAGGAAGTGGGAAGGGAGGAGGTGAGGAAGAAGTGGGAGAGGAGGAGGTTGAGGAATGGAGGTGGAGGAGGAAGTGGGAATAGGAGCAAGGAAAGGAGAAGGAGGAGGTGAGGAAGAAGTGGAATAGGAGCAAGGAAAGGGAGAGGAGGAGGGAGGAGGAAGGGAGAGGTGAGGGCGTGATCGTGCATTAGGCAATGTCGATATTTTTCTGCGCATTATTTTTTTCGATCTTTCTTTCTTTTTTTTTCTCTGTTACCGTCTCAGCGCTGTTAAATCATGTGACTGGTTTACACCTCGAGTCCTGCCTGACGCCTCCCAGTTCCATTAGGGTTTTTTTCTCTTTGCTGATCTTGCTCTTTCACATTTTTCTTTGCTTTTTTGTTTATCCTGTCTATTTCCTCTCCCTTTTCCCTCTTCCCCATTCCTTTCCATCTTCTCCCTTTCCATCACCTCCACTTCTTCCTTATTCTCCCTTTCATCACTCTCCCTCTTCTCTCTTACTCTTTCTCTCTCTCTCTTACTCTTTCCCCTCCTCTCTCTTACTCTTTCCTTCTCCTTCCCTCTTACTCTTTCCTTCTCCTTTCCTCTTACTCTTTCCCTCTCCTTCTTACTCTTTCCAGCCCCTTCCCTCTTACTCTCCTTCGCTTTCCTTCTCCTCTCTTACTCTCCTTCTCCTCTCTTACCCTCCTTCTCTTTCCACCCTCTTTCCGGCTCCTTCCCTCTTACTCTCCTTCGCTTTCCTCTCCTTCTCTCTTCTCTCCTTACTCTCCTTCTTTCCTTCTCCTTCTCTTTCCTTTCCTTCTCCTTTCTTTCTCTCCTTTTCCTTCTTACTCTTTCCATCTCCTTCCCTCTTACTCTCTTTCCTTCCTCTTACTTCTCTTTCCCTCTTCCCTCTTACTCTTTCTTTCTCCTTCCCTCTTACTATTCTCCTTCCCTCTTTCTTCCTCTCTTACTCTCTTTCCTTCTCCTTCCCTCTTACTCTCTTTCCTTCTCCTTCCCTCTCTACTCTCTTTCCTTCTCCTTCCCTCTTTACTCTCTTTCCTTCTCCTTCCTCTTACTCTCTTCCTTCTCCTTCCCTCTTACTCTACTCTACTCTCCCTCCTCTTACTCTTTCCCCTTTACTCTCCCTTTCCCATTTCCACTTCATGCCTTCCTCCCTCTCCCTTTTCGACAGGCAAGAGGAGGCGGGGCGTGGCGATTAGGAACCCGAATCTGGCGGTGGGCGGGGCATGGGGGAATGGAATTGTTGACGTGAGAAATAGGCTTGGGTATAGATGTCGATGTGGTATGGTGTGGAATGGGGAGGTATTTTTGTATGAGGAATGATTGGTATGGGAAAGAGGGATGGGTGTAGATGTTGATGTGGTATGGTGTAGGTGTGGAATGGAGAGGTATTTTTGTAAGAGGAATGATTGATATGGGAAAGAGGGATGGGTGTAGATATTGATGTGGTATGGTGTAGGTATGGAATGGAGTGGTATTTTTGTAAGAAGAATGATTGATATGGGAAATAAGCTTGGGTATAGATATTACTGTGATGTGGTTTAAGTATGGAATGGAGTGGTAGTCTTGGACATTTGGAAGAATTGGAGGAATTTCCACACCGATGACATAACTGTAACAGGCGAGGGCGGATGTGAACTTTCCGTCAATTAGCCGACGGATTTTGTGGCCGACCGGATATTTCGCCGACGGGCATTATACCGAATCGAAATATTGCCAGATAAATCATAAACCGCCGTATGATGCAGCTGTTGTTTACTTCCAAGGAAAGAGATGCACCAGAAATAAAAACAAGTGTATTTTTCGTATTTTTTCTAACACGTCCGCCTAATGGATCGCGACGATATTGGTATCGTTGGATTCCTCTCGCCGTCTACAATGCAAATGTGTAGGTTTTATTGCGCGACCCCCCCCCCGCCCCCCTCATTCCCCACGCACATGCCATTACCAACAAGATTGGCCCCGAGAGCAAGGGAGGTCATGAAAGGTACCAGGGAAATTGCCGAGTAAAATATGAGTAATATACACAGAATCAGTCGCTATATTGTCTAATGCGAGGCGCTGTGCCGGCTGCCGCTCCGCAAATTCCCGCCGCCGGTCCGCAGTCCCCGCCGAGGGAAACAAAGAATCCGCCACGTATTCGATGCAGGGGAGAGCGTGCGGCAACTATGCGGGCGCGGCGTTGCCAAGTCTACACGGCGCTCTCTCTACTGCCGTGAGTAGTGGAGTTTCTGCTATCGGGGCCGAGAGTGTGGTGGTCCGAGGGGTTTCCGCGGAGTAATTTTTAAATGTTTGGAAACACGAGAGTGAGAGGAATACAACGATACCGAAATCATCACGATTCGTTCGGCGACACTGTAGAAGATAATACCTCCACGTATTCGCGGGAGCATAGAGAGCGCACACGAACTAGATGAGGAGCGAACACTGATATTTACATTAGGATTTATAAGGTATTCACCTGATTGCTTGATGCTGCTGAGGGCTGTGAGGGTGCTCGGGTGATGCTGGAGAAGGTGATGGAGGCAGGGTGCGTCCAGCAGCAGGTCGTCGTAGGCCCGAGAATACCGAAGCGGACCAGCCACACCTCTGCTTCTTCTGCTTCCTGATCGACACAGACTTGTCACACCTAAACCTCCTTTTCCTAGGGTCCAGGCGTGCCGGCTGTCCGCACCTGAGGCAGGCCCTCTCCCTGGGGATGAGGCCGTTTCGGAAGCACATCTCCAGCATCTCGTCTCGGCTGGTGACGGCCTCGCGATGAAAATCCGTTGCGGAGAACGAGCGCCATCCTCGCTCGGCCATCGTGTCGGCTTGGCTGAGCGGCCGCCGCGGCGCCACGGGATCTACGCGCAGCCCGCCGGGGAGAAAGCCACCACCGGCCCACCTGTTCATCGGGGTTATACTGCAATCTTCTCAGTATACCATGCTGACTGTCACCGTGTCACTCCGTATTTTCCCTGGAACCTTTCTTGCCCTCCCCTCCTATCGGGCCCGAGCTTGTCGCTAATGGTGGTTGGAGGGGGGGTTGGGGGGTGGGAATTTCCGCGTAATCAAACCTACATATTCGCATTGTTGACGGGGAGGCGGATCCAACGATACTAATGTCGTCGAGATCCGTTAGGCGGAACCATTAGAAAAAATGACCATGTAAACCATTGACTCTGTATGATTTTTTATGCGTACCTTCAGTGCAGTGTATATTCTCATCTGCATATATATTTTGAGTTTTTGTGTGTGATATGTGATGCCGTTGCTGCATCCTTTTGAAATCTAAACGTTTGTCTCAATAAGATTCCCTCTCCCTCTGTCTCTCTCCCTTCTCTCGCAACCCCCTCTTTACTTTTCCCTTCCCTTTTCTTTTTTCTTTCCTTCCCTTCCTTTCTTCCGCTTCCTTCCCCTTCTCACTTTTCTTCTCCCCCTCCCATTCCATTTCCCTCTCCCTCCCCTTTTCCTTATCCCTTTCCCATTCTATTTTCTTTCCTTTCTCACTGTCTCTTCCCTGCCCTTTCGCCTCTCCTTCCTTCCCCTTCTTCTCCCTCTCCCAGTTCCATTTCTTCTCCCATTCCAATCCGAGAGAGAGGGAGAGGAGAGAGAATGGATTAAGAGAGGGAAGGGAGGAATGGATTGAGGGAGGGAGGATGGAGGAATGGATTGAAGGGAGGGAGGGAAGGGAATGGATTGAGGGAGAGGGAGGGAGGATGGATTGAGGGAGGGAGGAAATGGATGGAGGAGGGAGGGAGGGAGGGAGAAATGGATTGAGGGAGGGAGGAGGAGGGAGGAATGGATTGAAGGGAGGGAGGGAGGGAGGGAGGAATGGATTGAGGGAGGGAGGGAGGGGGAATGGATTGAGGAGGGAGGGAGAATGGATTGAGGGAGGGAGGGAGAGGGAGGGAGGGAGGGAGGGAGGAATGGATTGAGGAGGGAGGGAGGGAGGGAGGAATGATTTGAGGGAGGGAGGGAGGGGGAGAGGGAGGAGGGAGGGAGGGAGGGAGGGAGGGAAGGATTGAGGGAGGGAGGGAGGGGAGGAAATGGAAATTGGGAGGGAGGGAAGGGAGGGAGGGAGGAAGGGAGGAATGGATTGAGGGAGGAGGAGGGAGAATGGATTAAGGAGGAAATGGATTGAGGGAGGGAGGAATGGATGAGGAAGGGAGGAGTGGATTGGATAGAGGAATGGAGGGGGAGGGAGGGAGGGATTGAGGATTGGAGAGGGAGAGGGGGATGGATGCATTTAGAGGGACGGATTTGGACGGAGAGACACCGATACACAAACGATCGCTGTATAATCAAATAATTTATACAAGAAAAATGATTAAGTGATGACAATTCGTTTCAACAGTATCTTGCTTATTCTGCGTTGGGCACTTTAGAGATTCGGTGATTGCATTGTTGCAGCTTGTTCAATTCGGAGCAAGATCGAGGCTGCCTCAGCTTGCTCAAGATGGTTGTCGGTGACAATTACTTGGATTTAGAAAGAAAGATTTAGAAAGATCGTTTTAATTCCATTTGTTAAGATGGGTATTCTTTGCTGTGATATACTTTCTTGTTTTATTTTGCTTCTAAATCTACCCCTGTGTGCAAGGGATGGCCGGGGTTACCATCCACTGGAAGCGCGCGGAATCGAACGCAGGAGAGAAGGAGAGGGGGAAGGGAAGGGGTGGGAGGGAAGGGAGGAGAGGGGGAAGGAGAGGAGGAGGAGGAGAGGAAAGGGAGAAGGAGGAGAGGGGGAAGGGAAGGAGAGGAGGGGGAAGGAGGAGATGGAGGGGGAAGGAAGGGAGAAGGGAGAAAAGGAGATGGGGAAGGGAAGGGAGAAGGAAAAGAAATGGGAAGGGAAGGGAGAAGGAGAGGAAAAGGAGATGGGGAAGGGAAGGGAGAAGGAGAGGAAAAGGAGATGGGGAAGGGAAGGGAGAGGGAGAGGAAAAGGAGATGGGGAAGGGAAGGGGAAGAGGCAGTGAGAAGGGAAGGAAAACGCTAACCAACACGCTAACTGCTGCATTACACAGCACACGAGGTATTATTGCGCTTTTCTTCCTAAATAAGTGTACGTATTGTTGAAACCGCTGTTTTTGTTACTGACTGTTGCGTTGGTGTTGGGGAGCAGGAGAAGGAAGAAGAAAAGGAAGAAACGGGGAAAGAAGAGAACAGTAGAAGCAGCAGGAAATAAGGAAGAGAAAAAAGAAGAGGGAAAAGAAAAAGAAATGAGAAGAGAGCAGAAGAATAATAAAGAATAATTATGAAAAAAAGAGGAGAATTAAGAAAGAAGGAGAGAGAGAATAGAAGACGAAGAATTAAGAAAAAGAGAAGAGAAGAAGAAAGAGAAGAAATAAGCAAGAAGAAAAGAGAGAACAGAAGTAGCCTACGAAGAAGATTGAAACTATTGACGTCATTTCTGTCCCCGAGTAACGAGCGATCAAGAAATTTGCAATGTTTACGCCAGCATGAATCTCTCCGTTATGAAAGAAAGAGAAAATAAGAAAAAAAACAAGAAGAGGAACGAGATAGAGAGAGAATGAAAGCAAAGAGAAGAGCGTGCTTGTTTAAAAAGACCCGCTATCGAGTCCGCATCCGCTTTTGCCCGACCGCCACCGCCGCGCAAACAAGCGGTGACGTCATCGCCTCGGGTGTGATGCGACGCGTGTTTGGATGTGGCTGGGAGACGCGCTCTGGGGGTGGGGGTGGGGGTGGGTATGGAGGGCTGTTATTATGTGGAAGGTTTTTTGTTGTTGTTTTATTTATTTTTTTTCTTCCGTTCTTTCTTTCTTCTTTCTTTGAGGAAGGAGGTGAGTAGGAGGGGAGGGGCTTATAGTTTTTTAAAGTGTGATTTGTGTTGTTGACAAAAAAAGTCATTTTCTGGATGAACAGGTGTGTGTGTGTGTGTGTGTGTGTGTGTGTGTGTGTGTGGTGGTGTGTGTGTGTGTGTGTGTGTGTGTGTGTGTGTGTGTGTGTGTAATTTTTGCATGATGCAGTGTGTCTCTCTCTCTCTCTCTCTCCTCTCTCTCTCTCTCTCTCTCTCTCTCTTCTCTCTCTCTCTCTCTCTCCTCTCTCTCTCTCTTCTCTCTCCCTCTCTCCTCTCTCCCTCTCCCTCCCCTCTCCCTCTCCCTCTCCCCTCTCCCTCAGGTTTACCTGAACAGGCTGTATGATGATAGGAACGGTCAGGTATTCGAGATTTTGAAGAGGTACAGGCAATTTGCACCAATCATAAACATACCTCGCAAAAATGCACAGGTATGTAGGCTGTTACTCCTGCTGAGACTATAATGTCTCCTACTTTACTGGATGAATGGCGTATGTTAGCATCATTCTCCTGAAATACAATCATTCCACTCAACAACTGATTCATCTCTTCTCCGGGATTATAATTATATATTGCGTGCGCATATTTTTTGTGCGCTGTATTTGATTATGTAAGCCCAGGAGAGGACTTATCTGGAGGAGGGTGGGAGTGTTATATCACCTTAAAGGTATGTAAGCCAATGACTCTGAATTCTTGTAATGCTTGTAATTCTTTATAATTAAGTGCTGTATCTGATTTTAAAATATTTTGTACCTAAGTTTTGTATAATGAATTGTGAGCCCACACAGGGACTTACTAAGTAAGGGTGAGGATAACCTAAGTTACCTCAGCCTTTTGAGATGTAATCTTACTTTTGTCTCAATAAACGTGTCAAAGTCAAAGTCAGTCTCTCTTCCCACCTCACTCCCTCTCTCTCTTTCCCACCTCACTCCCTCTCTCTCTTTCCCACCTCACTCCCTCTCCCCTCCTCCCTTTCCCTCCCCCCCCCCTCCTTATTCACCTCTTCCCTCCCTTTCCCTTATTCCACATCTTCCTTTCCCTCCCTTCCCTTCTCTTCCCTCCCTGCTCACCTTCCTCCTTGCTCACTCTCCCTCCTTGCCACTCTTCCCTCCCTTCCCTCTCTTTCTTTCCATCCCTCCTCTTCTTTCTCTCTTCCTTTCCCTTCCCGTACCCCATCGCTCATCTCTCCCTACTTTCCATCCCCACTCCTCCCTCCCTTCACTCACCCTTTCCTCTCTCCTCGCCTTTCCCTTACTGTTCTCTCCTCTTCTCGTAGTATCCATCCATCCATCTACATGTCAATCTACTTATCTACTCATCTTTCTATTTATTCATCTCTTCATCTTTCTATCTATCCATCTTTCATCTTACTATCTATCCATTCACTATCTTTCTATCTACTCATCTTTCTATCTACCACTTCCCTATCTATCCATCTATCTTTCTATCTATCCTATCTTCATCTTTCCTATCTATCCATCTACCATCTTTCTCTATCTACTCATCTTTCTATCCATCCATCTTCATCTTTCTATCTATCCATCTCTCATCTTCTAATCTATCTACTCATCTTCTATCTATCATATCTTCTATCTATCCATCTACTCATCTTTCTATCTATCCATCTACTCATCTTTCTATCTATCCATCTGCTCATCTTTCTATCTATCCATCTACTCATCTTTCTATCTATCCATCTACTCATTATCTATCTATCCATCTACTCATCTATCTATCTATCATCTATCTTTCTATCTATCCATCTACTCATCTATCTATCCATCTACTCATCATCTATCTCTATCATATCTACTCATCTATCTATCTATCCATCTACTCATCTATTATCCATATTATCCTATCCATCTGCTCCCAGTCAAGGACAATATTATGAAGAATTGAAAACAAAAACGCTCTTTTCCTAGAGTTGAAGGTCGATTTTTTTTCTATTACATTTTATTACATGGATTTAGGCCTATGGTGATTCGTTGTGAAGAAAAAAAACGAGTGACCTTCAAAAGGTTTATGGGACATTTTCTTTTTATTTATTTTATTTATATTTTTATTTTTTATTATTATTTTGTATTTTTTTTGGGGGGGGTGGGGGTGGGGGGAAGCT